CTGGCTCTCGCCGGAGCTCGCGCAGCGAGCGCGCTCACACTCCCGGCGGGGGTGGGGGAACACAGAGACGGAGCCGCGCGCGAGCCCCAGAACACAAACAAACGGTCTCCTTCATGAAGAGTATGGGCTCTCCCACGAAGTAGATGAGCAGGGGGCCAAACGACTCGGCGATCGCCACCTCGCGCGGGCAGCGAGCGGCGGCGCGGGAGGGCGGCGCGCAGGCGAGCATGCGGCATGTGTCGGCAGAGAACCAAAAGGTAGGAGAGGAAGCGGACGCGACTTCTTCTCCTCCTGGAGTCCTGGAGGAGGAAGAGGAAACTGAGAGGAGGAAGAAGAGGACGCGGAGGAGGAAAAAGAGGACACGGAGGAGGAGGAGGAGGAGGAGGAGGAGGAGGAAAAGGAGGAGGAGATATACTCTAGCATGCGATGACGCCGATGCCTCTTTACACGTTTATGTCGCACTGTGCGACCCCTCTGCGGTGTGCGGGGGTGCACTTCAGCGCCAGCCCAAAGCCGCACAGGCGCAGCCAGAGGAGGAGGAGGAGGAGGAGGAGGAGGAGGAGAAGGAGGAGGAGGAGGAGGAGGAGAATGACGCAGCCTCTCCAGAAGGGAAGGGTCACGTAGCGGACCAAAGGCCAGCCTCCTCCGACTCACCCGCCCTGTCACGGCAAGTCCAGCTGCCCCCCCCCCCGCCGCAAAACGAGGACGCCTGCACCGGCCGGGAGAGAGGACGACGGAAAGAATACCGACCCCTCCAAAAGGACAACACAGCCACGCATATAAAAAGCACCTCGTGCAAGCGAAGCCCCAAAGCAGGAGTCGACCAGGACATCACTGTTTGGCTAAAGCCCCCGGGGCTGACCAATGTTAAGTAAACGCCAGTTTCGGGGTCGGGGTCGTTGTTCCTCTCGCTCGATCTTCCTTGTTGGCTTGACAAGGCGTATGCAATGTTTGGCTGAGACCCTCCCCTGCTCCCCATCCCAGGCGGTCTAAAATAAAATGTCAGGGGGCCAGGGATGGGAGCGGCGAGCTTTTCCACGCACCTACCAGGACACACGAGCCTCGAGGCCACCAACAAAAGAAAGTGTGGCCTCGAATACTGTCAAAGATGGCACAACATGGCCTTCACGAGGCTCCAAGGTGTCCCCAGAGCCTCCCAGCAAAGCTCACACCTCGTGTCATCAATTTGGCATGATCGTCTGCGCTTCTTCAGCTGGGCCTCAGGAGCCCTGAGGTGGCAACAGGTGGCCCAAGAGGGCCCAGAGGAGCTCGACAGCGTCCGTGGTGGCCCCGGGCGGGCCCTGGACATCTCGGAGAAGGCCCGACCGGAGTCATCCCACCAGCGCCCAGGAGGACCCCGGGATGGCACCCAAGGTGCCCACAAGAGCTGGGGCACACGAGCGAGGAGGGCACACATCGGCGGTGGACAAACCTCCCTTTAGTAGACCTCCCCTTAGTGAAAACGGCCTGGGACCGAAAGCGAGAGACCTGGACCCGCAAAAATGACGGCCGCGACGGCGTCTCAAGAACCGAAAACGGCCAGTTCGCTAATCGATGTGTCAGGGTAGGAGGTCTGTCCACTTCCGAGACCAAGGGGCCAGGAGGCACCTCTTTGGCTCCACCAAGCGCAGGAGTGCACACTGCGCCCGTCGGTGCTCCTGCCGTTCTCAACCCCGGCCTCCCTAAGCCTCCCTGGCCTCCTCCCGTGCCTCGGCCGTCTCGTCCTCGTCCTCCGCATCATGCCACTGTATATTCCTCCTCCTCCTCCCCAACACACATAGATCGTCATGCACTTCGCCCTCCCAGGAGCATCCGAACCAACTACGACAGAGGCGTGCTGCGATCACCGGCAGCAAGTTTAGAACACTGCTAAGTCGCGCGTGCGGGGCCGCCACAGAGGCTCCCCGGACTAACATTAGCGGGACAATGTGCTGGCAGGTTCGCCCGGACGCGGGAACTCCCCGAGGCCGCCGTCCGGGCCCCAACGAGACCCTCAAGACGGTCCAAGAGGGCCCCGAATCGCCGAACGGTCGGTCCAAGACGCCCAAGATGGCCTGCAGTCGGCCGAAAAAGTCCCAAGACGTCCCAAGAGGCCTCCGTGAGCCTTCCCAAGAGCAGCGAGAAGTCAAAACAATTGGTTTGCCTCGAGTGTTTCAGTTGTTTTTGGGTTCAGCAAATATTTCAGCTTCCGACGCCCCAAGACGCCCCAAGAGGCCTCCAAGACCGCCCCAAAACGGCTCCTGAGGCCATCAATAAGGCTTCAAACTAGCCTATGAGGCGCCCAAAACGGCCCGAGAGAACCCCAAAATGGGCCCAAAAGGGGGAACGCGAACCGAAAATCCAAGCCTTCCGCTCCAAAAACCTCCCAAAAGGCCCCAAGAGGCACCCAAGAGGCCCCCACAAGGCCCTAAGAGGCCCTCAAGAAGCCCAAAATCGTCTCCAAGAGGCCCCAAAACAGCCTCCCCAAAGGCCTCACAATTACCTCCAGAGGGCCCCCGACAGGCCTCGAAGAGATCCCGACGAGCATCCAAGAAGCCTCAGACCCACCACCCATGCACGGAGACGTGGTGGGCCGAAGGCCATTCGCTATTGGCGGGGTGAGTGAGCGAAGCGATGGACTGCGGCGGGCCCCCTGCGGGCCCTGACTGTGTTCTAGGCGTCGAGGGTAAATTATGAGATGGGGGATGATGGAGGAGGGTGACATGCGTGCATAACTGCATGCTGGGAACGGCCTCGCGCATTCCGCTCCCGATGCTATGTTATGACTGCCGGCCGACGTCATCAAGTTTCACGGGGGGCACGTCAAACTACGAATGGAACGCGCTCCCAGTGCTAGCCCCACGCGCGTGACAGCTACTGGGAGACACACACAAACACCAGTGAGATGCGCCCTCGGGGCTGCGGAGGCCTCGCTTGGCGCAACCCTGACGCACTTCCTCTCTGACGCTACTCTGGAACACGCAAAAAATACGAGCGACTATCGCCTTCTGACACTGCCTTTCCAATACACCCCTCACGCACGTCCTGCTCCAACTTTACTGGAACACGTAAAAAACAATCTGCGCTGCGAGAAACACGAAGTGCTCAATTCTAGACACCCCTCACGCATGTCCTGCCCTGCACTCTACTGGGACACCTGCAAGTACGAGTGATCCGCGTTGTCAGGCTCGTGAGACACATGCAAAACTAGCGGCTTGGGCCTCAGGGCTCGTGGGGGAAGTAAGCATACTAAGGGATTGCCCTCCCATGTTGATGGGAACCTCAATCCGCCACATCCCTCACACACTTTGAGAATGTTGGACGCTCAACTGGCCCCCGAGACGGCATCTTGGAGCCTCCATTCGGCCCACCCCTCACGCACGTTCCCGTGGACCCCAAATGCTCCTCCCAGTTGCCCCCCAGACCGCCAAAACCCTCAAGGAACGACAAGATAACGCGACGAACATCTGCAACGATTGGTACCGACCCCCTTGGAAGCCACACACCCGCTCACCAACTCATTCCCGCGCCTGCGTGCGAGTTTCCCCGTGGGGGGCCCGCCGTGACTCCCACCCTGCGGGCTCCGTAACTCGTAACTCGTCATCCACTTCGAACTCCCTTGAGCATCCGAGCCAGGCAAGATATCGTCACGAACCTCATCTTCTGGAAATCGGAAGAATGGCCTGTGGGACCCTGGGACAATCGGTCGTGCGCCTCCGGCACTACCCCCTGCCAGCCCTCGTTCCCTCGTCCTGCGTGGCTCGCTGAGCAGGCCCTGAGGTGAGTGCAGCCGCTAGCGGCCTCGAGCGTGGACGTCCGCTTGGTGACCTCGCCTTTGAACCACCTCGCGGACTGCCCATGAGGATGACGCGCCCGAGCTCATGATGGCGATCCCTTCTCTTCGAGGCCTCTTCTCGTTCCTCCCGCTCCTCCTCTTCCTCCTCCCCATCATGCAGGCACGATGAGGAGCAATACTCAGCGGCCAAGCCAATTGTCGAACTCGATGACACGCCTGACACTGACTTTGAACAAGCACGCCGCATCGACACAAAACTGAACGCGACGCACATACTGGACAAAACATCCGACGGCACGCGTTTCCGTTATAGGGTAAACGAAGAATGAAGCGCCGCGGCGACGTGGACCGCACGTTGACGTACATTTGAAAAGTCTGGCAACACAAAGCGGCGCGCTCGAATAAGAAACGAGCGGCAAGCGCAAAGACAACGTCCTCCTCCTCCTCCTCCTCCTCCTTCTCCTCCTCCCCCTTCTCCCTCTCCTCCCCACAACGTCACCATCGTGCAAATATACCTGATCCTCCATAGATTGCTCCTCACTCTCCTCCTCCTCCTCCTCCTCCTCCTCCTCCTCCTCCTCCTCCTCCTGCCTCTTCCTCCTCCTTCTCCCGCTCAGCATCATCAGCTCGCCAGGATCGCTCAACTCACCAGACTCTGGACCCTCCCCCTGCCGTCGCTTCGCGCTGGGCGCTTGTCGCTCGACTTGAAGCGGCGGGAACACTTGGAGGGGAGGGGGCGGAGGGTGGAGAGAGGGAGGCCGAGGGGCCGCGAATGGGTGGAAATCGGGCGAGAAATCAGACGGCCCCAAGAAACCCACATAAAACCACGAAAAACTTCAAAACAATCCCCTAGAAGGTCCCCCCTTGAACCCCACACGCTACGCAGGACAGGCCGAAGCCCCAAGATTGCCCAGCGATCGCGCGCGTTCCGCGGACTCCGTCTTTCACTCTTGCTGCCGCCCCAAAGGGTCGGCCGTGCGGCGCAAGCAAAATAATCAGAAGCTCCCAGGTCCGATGCGTCACTCCCGGGTGCAATCGAATATTCCCCAGTGGACAAGGGATGTGAGCAACGGGAGGTAGTCGCCAAAGGGTCCCTCACTATTCAGATGCCTTGTCAATTAGTGGCGTGTGATCTACATTGCGAGCGCTCTTGTTTTCGACCAGACTGTATGGGGAATAACGAACATATGCGGGACACCACCTTCTGGACAACGAATGCCACAACATGTCTTGATGCATCCGAGCTCTTGATTCTGCATGGTGTGCGCTGTGACTCAGCTATTACTGGAAAAATCTGACCTGGCAATTTCGCGCGCTGCGTGGAAACAGACGGATATAATTATTGCGCGCCCGTCGGGGACATTCCAAATGAACTGGTCTGGGATCATAGCGCACCGCACGGAAGAAGAACCGTCCCCCGACGAATGAAAACCGCAGATGTCGATGCCAACCTGTTGACTTCTGGGAGTGGAATGTGAATGTTTTGACTAGGGAAGGAATGCCGAAATACAAACTTACACACGTCACGTTCATGGCCGCAACTGCCCTTCCGCGGTCCCACGTTTTCCGCCGGCGCAGGAAAGGGCAGTGGAGGGGGAGGGCGGGGGGATCCGAGGGACGGGGCACGGGGGATAAGGAGAAAGTGGGGAGGAGAGGGAAGGGGCCGAGAGCAGGGAGAGTTAGAGAGAAAGGCGGGAGGAGGAGGAGGGTTAGGAATGTAATGGAGTGAATCCCTTCGCGGTGCGAAACTCAAACCCCCGACGCGGGCGCCCCGATAGCGCCGCAGAGACCGCGAGAAGAGAGAGGTACCCGACATAATGAACGAAATGCGATGACACCCTCGCTCTTCCGACGAGAACGGCGAGGTCCATCAGCGACAGCATATCCAAGACGGCCAAACACGTGGGAAAGAATTCCTTGCCTTGTGGAATGTGGAATAGGCTCCATGCACCTCCTCATTTCCGACAGCCGCCAAACTCGAAAGGGATGCGAACGAAGGACAGGGGAGACGCCTGAATGGAACAAGAGCAGGCTGCAGAAACGTGTACATTCGGAATGTCCGCGCGAGTCTCCTGGATCGGCGCTGGCCACCCCTCCCTGGCGCCGGAGCACGCCCTGGGTGGCGCCGCAGGCGCCGCCAAGGGGCTCCAGCGGCGATCCGAGGAACCCGCGTGGAACTCCGAAAGTTTATCTTTTTCTGCAGCGCTTTTGCCTGCGAAAACCCGCAGCAGGGCCTTTCTTCGGCGGCGAGCGAGGGGGGGAAGTGAGAAGGGGCCGAAGACACAGAGAGCCTGTCAGAAGGCCCGAGGCCTTCTTAGAAGCCCCGCCGCCCTCTGAGAATGGATCCTCCTTCTTACTTCCCCCCCTCGCTCGCCGCCGAACTCTTGCCCTGTCGACCAGAAGGGGGGCCTCAGGGAATCTGGGCGCTCGCCGCCACTTGCGCTGCAGCACGCAGGCGCCCAGCCCGCGCCGCGGACCTCCGCGCGGCACCGCGCCTGGGAAGCCCCGCGGCGACGTCCGAGTCATGGTCCCCTGGAATCGGCGGCGCGCCCGGGGGGGGGCAGTGAGAAGGAGAAGGCCTCCTCGGCAGGCTCGGGAGTCCCCTGGCCTTTTGAGAAGTGTTCCGAGCCTTCCCCGAAAGCACAGAAGATGATGGGCCCGCTTTCCACCACCACCACCATATGTAGGAGAGGGAGGGGGTCCTCCACCTCCTCCTCCTCCTCCTCCTCCTCCTCCTCCTCCTCCTCCTCCTCCTCCTCCTTCCCCCCCTCTAATGTATGGTGGTGGTGGTGGTGGGAAACAGGCCATCAGAAAAGACCTCTCAGAATGTGCGAGGGCTTCTGAGAAGTCCCGCCGCCTTCTGAGGAGGCATCCTCCTTCTCACTTCCCCCCCTCGGTCGCCGACGAGCTCAGTTTTCGGGTCATAACTCGGGTCTCGGGCAGCCGTTCGGGACGGTCTGGGCACCCCTGGGACGCTCTCGGCGAGGCGCAGTCGCTGGAACGCATCCCGAAGGCGGCAAGCCGCCAAGAAACTGCGAAAACACCCGAACACCCAGAACCTCGAAGTTCGAACCTCGAACCTCGAAACAAGGACCACATGCACGGACGTCGGAAGCAACCGCGTCGAAACGCAACTGCACTCGGCGTGGTCGTCGAAGCGGCCCAGCTGCAGCCTGGGGCCTCGGCCTGACTGCAACGCGCTGCAGTCCCTCGAGGACCTCAGAGAAGACTGCGCGTGCCAGCAGTGCACTCCTTGCACGCGCCAGGCACGCAAGGGGAAGGACAGGACAGGACAGGACAACTAGGAGGCAACTGCTGGGAGGCCTTCGCCGGAATGATCAAGGAATCTTGAACCCCATTAATGGGGGCTGCTACGGCAGATTAGGCCGGAAATTAGACAGATTTCAGCGGAATTGAACGGAATTGACCTGGATTACGCGGAATTAAGCCGGGTTCGGACCAGGGCAAAATCAGAAGTTAGCCTCCCAAGAGTTGCATCCGAAGGACAGGAACCGCTCAGCGAGATCCATCGACTGCTGCATGACTCAAAGTAGCAGTGGACCTCAGGCGGTCAGGTCTCCGCTTGGGGTGGGAGGGACAGGAAGGAGGAAAAGAGGAGCAGAGGAGAACGGCGACGCGCCCACAACGTCAGCCACCGAGGTGTGCCCTGTTCAGAACCGCCGCCTATGCAGGCGATGGCCCCTTTTGCGGCTGGGGCAACCCGTGCATGCACGGACGAGAAAACCGAGATGAACGCATCGCGGCACTAGGAAATTGAGACGCGCAAGAACCAGACCGAACAACAAGTAAGAAACACACACACAAAGAAGAGTGGGCGAATTGCACGCCACCCAACCCCTGGCGGTATGCCACTCGGGAAAACCCCTGCCGACGAAATAGGCGGCGAGTCGCGCGTGGACCTTCCCACTGGGAACTTCGGGACAACACTCCCTCCACCCTGCGGGCCGAACCCCCCTGACCCAGACTGGAAGGGAAACCAAGCTTTTGCTGGCCGCACCCGGCCGCCTTCGCGCTGCCAGGCAACTCCGCAGTGCAGAGAGGAGGGGGCGGAGGAGGAGGATAAACTGAAAAGCGCCCTGAACGGCCTTGGATACTCTCGGGAGGGGAGTGGCGCTTGGCAGCAAGCTGCAACTACGTCAAAGAGCTACAAGAGGAGGGAACACACGTGTAGGAGGCCACATGCGAACCCTACCCCACCACCCCACGATTTCCAACGATTTCTAAGGGGGGCGGTGCGGTTCACGTCGTGCGGGAGGCCCGAAAAAGGTAAGCACAAACCAGACCGCAAGTGGGAACGCAAGTGGCCCATCCGACCGCAAGGTCAGGCCGAACCCATCTGCCAACAGATCCCAGCGTGCTCCCTCGATCAAGGCGGGGCCCTGCCAGGAAGGACCAGGCCGGCGGTGTGCCCTCGCATGCTCATCCTGGCCCGGGCGCTAGACTTCGCCACAGCGCGAGCTCCGCCCAACACTTCCACACGTCGTAGATGGTTTGGACATGCCCCTGGATCGGATGTATGATTCCGACACTGCTTTTGCGCACGAGGACTGCATTGCTACTGAGCTGCCGTGGAGCTAGACAGGACTAACAGTAACATGTGGCAGCCCTCGATATGCTCCTGGCCTGTGCGCCCAGCACGGATTCAATCCTCGTGCCCGCACCGGAATGCGCGAAAACCCCTGGAGACTCTCGCGGTATCATGCTCTGACTGTGTCATGATTAATTGTTCCCTGAACATGTCTCTGTCCTGCATACGGATAAGCCCTGTCCAAAGTGCGGCGCCCAAACATTGCAATGCAAGATGCAGGTTAATCATTGGGGAACGATGAACAACATAATTTCCGAATCTTCGGCTTCCACACCGCTTCGGCTCCGTCTGGCCCGTCGACCGTCCAGGTGCGCGCCCGAGGAGGGCGGGAGAGAACGATTAAACAGTACTGTCCTGGCCAGGGGCCCATTTGCTCGAATCATCATCCTGGGTGCCTCCGCTTGAACACGACCCCCGGTAGGCTCTCAATCATCATCCTGCATTACTGCAGGGCCCCGACGGCACTTCCATATGTCGCCGAGGGCACTTCTACAAGGCATTCGAGGCAGTTTCAAAGGACACCAATAACATGTTTTCACATGTTCCGCTCACTCTGGAAAGCGCACAGAGGAATATCCCACCCCGACAGGGGAATCACCCATTATCAAACAAGCCAATGTTTACAATCCGATCGGCCAGGGGGACAAGGCGAAGCGGAAAGAGAGGACGGGAGGTGAGAAGGGGGATGGGAGGGAGGCGGGGGGGAAAGGTGGAAGGGAAGGGGGGGGGGGGGGGGGGAGGGGGAGGATGCGAAAGGGGGGGGGGGGGCGTGTATGGATGGGGACGGCAGTGCAGAATGGAGGCGAGGGGCTTGCAAGCGAAATCCGTCAAGCGATGGCGGCGGGACGTGATGCACCCGGCGACGGCAGAGCCACGCGGCAACGACAACGAGCGAAAACGAGCAACGAGGACCATGGACAATTCCTCCTTCTCGTCCTGTTCCTGTTTCTTCTCACCCCCGCCCCATACACCACTCCTGCTTCGCATCCTCAGCCTCCTCACCCTCCTTCCCCTCCTGTTCCAACCTTCCCAAACAAAACGGGTCGTTCCCGGGCCAAGGCCAAACAGAAACAATGACCTGACTCGCGCCTTGGTCAGGAGAAGAGAAAGGACAAAACAGAAAGAGAGAGATAGAGAAACGGAAACGTACATATATATACATATATATATATATGTATATATACATATATAGGCATATTGAATGTATATATATACACATACATATATATATGTATATTTTGAATATATATATATAGAGAAAGGGACATACATATAAATCTATAAATAACTGAATCGATAAGACCAGAAAGAGACGCACGGAAAAGGATTCTGTATATTCATAGCAGCAAAATTATATGATAGATAATATAAATACAACGGGACGACGATCTACGTATACATCTAGGGATGCACAAAAAAACAACAGCAAAAAGAGAGAGGGAGAGAGAGGACAGAGGAGAGAAAGGGAGAGGAGAAAAAGAGAGATAATTATTTATACTTCTTCTCTTTCTCCTCCTCTGCGTCACCGTTCTTCTCCCCCGGCGGACAGGACCCTCTGGCGATGACGATGAAAAGGGTGAGCCACACGAGACAGCTGTCCCACGCGACGAACAGCCCTGGGGGGGGGGGGGGCGCAAGAGGCGCCAGCTTGAGGGGTGAGGGGGCGGCAGCGCGACACTGCACAAGGGAGAGGGTGACAGCGAAAAAGAGGAAGAACCCGAGAAGAGGACCGACTACAAAATCATTCATGCCCTTGTCGACCCCATGAGACAGGCACATAGAATAGAATAGTCCGTGGATCTAGAGAATACATGCTTCGTAGATTCGACGGGCAATCAGCCGCTGGATAAATCAATTCTGTAGTCGATATCGTACTCGAAGAGCGGGGGAGGGGGAGAGCAAGGGAGGTGCTCTGACATCCTCGCGTCGTGGAGCGGTTCTTGGCAATTTCTGGTTTCTGGGGGACCCTACACGGCCCCAGGCCTCCCCTCCCGAACCCCCCCCGGGCCCCCACGGATGGAGGAAGGGAAAGGTTTCGACCCCCCCCCTCCCGTGACGGAGGGGGGTGGGGTTCGAATCCCCCTCCCCCCCCCCCCCCCCCCCCCCCCCCCCCCCCCCCCCTTCCCCTCCCTCCCTCCCCCCCCCTTCCCCCCGCCAGGTGGGCGCTTGCGTCGGCGGCGGGTGGCGACGGCGGCGGGGACGACGATTTCCATTTCTGGGCCCGCGCTGGCCAGCGCCTGCGGCGGCGGGCGGCGGCGGCGGGGAGCGCCGACGAGGACGACGGTGGTGGTGGTGGTGGTGGTGGTGGTGGTGGTGGTGGTGGTGGTGGTGGTGTGTTGTGGTTCTGGTGGTGGTGGCAGTGGTGGTGGTTGTGGTGGTGGTGGTGGCGTGGTGGTTTGTTGTGGTGGTGGTGGTTGTGGCGGTGGTGGTGGTGGTGGTGGTGGTGGTGTGTGGTGGTGGTTTGTGGGTGGTGGTGGTGGTGTGGTGGTGGTGGTGGTGGTGGTTTGGTGGTGGTGGTGGTGGTGTGGTGGTGGTGTGTGGTGGTGGTGGGTTGTGGTTGTGGCGGTGGTGGTGGTGGGTGGTGGTGGTGGTGGTGGCGGTGGTGGTGGTGGTGGAGTGGTGGTTTGTGGTGGTGGTGGTGGGTCGTGCTGCTGGTAGTGGTGTTTGTTTTGGCGGTGGTGGTGGTGGTGTGGTAGATTGAGGTGGTGGTGGTAGTGGTGGTGGGCTGTGGTGGTGAGTTGTGAGTTGTGGTGGTGATTGTGAGTTGTGGTGGTGGTGGTGTTGTGGTGGTGTTGTGGTGGTGGTGTGTTGGTGGTTTGTGGTGGTGGTGGGTTGTGTTGGTGGCGGTGGTTTGTGGACGCTTGTTGTGGTGGTGGTGGTGGTGGCGGTGGTGGTGGTGGTGTGGTGGTTTGTGGTGGTGGCGGTGGGTTGTGCTGCTGGTAATGGTTGTGGCGGTGGTGGTGGTGATGTAATAGATTGTGGTGGTGGTGGTGGGTTTTTGTGTGATGGCGGTGGCGGTGGTGGTGGTGAGTTGTGGTGGTGGTGGTTGTGGTGGTGGTTGTGTGGTGTTGTTGTTTGTTGTTGTTGTTGTTGTTGTTGTTGGTTGGTGGTGGTGGTGGTGGTGGTGGTGGGTGGTGGTGTGTGGTACTGTTTTGGTGGGTTGAGGCGGTGGTGGTGGTGGTGGTTCTGGCAGTGGTGGTGGTGGTGGTCGTCGTCGTTGCGTCCCCGCCGTCGCCGACGCCAGCGCCGGCGCTGCTGGCCGCCGCCAACGTCGGCGCCGGCGCGAAGGGGGGGCGGAGGTTCAGAACCCCCCCCCCCGGCGCCAAGGGGGGGGGAGGGGGAAGTTGAAACCCCCCACCCCCTCCCCTGAGCTGCCTCTGGTCATCGTGCGTCCCCGCCGTGGGCGCTGCTGGCGGCCGCCAGCGCCGGCGCCGGCGCCGGCACCGAGGGGGGGGGGGGGGCCCAACCAAAACTCGGCGCCGTCGATCAGAACCACGGGGGCTCCCCTCCCCCCTAACCATCTCCCGACCCCACTCCCCTTCCCAGGGAAGAAAGGGGGGGTCCAACCCCCCCCCCTCCCAGCGCTGGGCCGGCGCCAGCGCTGGCGGCCGCCAGCAGCGCCGACGGCGGGGCAGCGACGATGACCAGAGGGGTCCAGGGAAAGGGGGGGGGGTACAACCCCCCCCGCTGGCGCCGGCGCTGGCGCTGGCGGCGGCCAGCAGCGCCCACGGCTGGGACGCAGCGACGACTGCCAGAGAGGGTCCAGAGGCCGAATAGGGAACACACAAATCGCCATACCGAGCCCTCGCCCCAGAAGCCACCGAGAGTCACCTAGGAAGGCCCACGAGGCTTCACACATGCTCGTCAGGACGCCCCCAAGACCCTTCTGACGAGACCTCAAGAGGCATCCATTAGAACTCTGACCCCAGCCAAAACACGGTGACGGGAAGAGCCGAAGGCCACACCACCACCACAAACCACCACCACACCACCACCACCACAACAACCACCACAACCCACCACCACCTCCACCACAACCGACCACCAACCCACCGCAACCCACAACCACCACCACAATCAAAAACCACCACACCATTACAGCACCATCGCCACCACCGTCACCACCACAACCATCACCACAACCCACCATCACCACCACAAACCACCACACTACCACCACCACAACCACCACCACTACCACCACCACCACTCACCACCCACCAACCACCCCCACCGCCACCAGCACCGCTACCAGCAGCACCACGACCACCACAAACCACCACCACCACCACCGCCACCACCAATACTACCACCACCACCACAACCCACCACCACAACCACCAAACCACCACACAACCACCACCACCACAGCCACCACCACCACCACAACTCACCACCACCACGACCACCACAACCACTACCACCACCACAACAACAACCCACCCTCACCACAATCTACAACACCACCACGCCACCGCCGCCACAACCACCATCACCACCACAATCCACCACACCACCACCACCACCACCACCACAAAACACCACACCAGCACTACCACCACCGCCACCACCACCACCAGAACCACCACCACAAATCACTGCCACCACCACCACCACCGCCACCACCACCACAAACCACCACACCACAACAACCACCACCACCAACCACCACCACACCACCACCAAACCACCACCACCACCACCCACCACCCACCACCACTACCACCACCACACCACTACCACCACAACAACCACCACCACATCACACCACCACCACCACAACAAACCACAACACCACCACCACCAGCACGACTCACCACGACAACCACCACCACCACCACAAAAACACACCACAACCACCACATCAGATACCACTGCCCCCACAACCACCACCACAACCCACCACAATCCACCAACCTCACCACCACAACTACCACGACACACCACCACACCACCACCGCCACCACCACCACCGCCTTAACCCACCACCGCCACCACAACGGCCATCACCACGACCACCAGAAACCACCGCACTACCACCACCACCGCTACGACCACCACAACCTGCCACCACAACCACCACAAGAACCACCACCACTACCACCACCAACCACCACACCACCACCACCACCGCCACCACCACCACCGCCACAACCACCACAACCACCACCACCACCACCACAGTCCACCACCACCACCGCCTCAGAGAGGCCCCAAGAGACGCCCAAGAAACGCCCAGAAGGCATCACAAATGCCCTGCAGAAGCCCCTGAGAACCCTCCGACGAGACCCCAAGAGGCATCCATTGGGACTTTGACCCAAAACCAAGTCACGGTGGCGGAGCGTCGTGGTCGTCGTCGTCGTCGTCATCGTCGTCGTCGTCCTTGTCGACGCTTCCCGCCGCCGCCGCCCGCCGCCGCAGGCGCCGGCGCCGGCCCAGAAAAGGAAATTGTCGCCCCCGCCGCCGACGCAGGCGCCGGCCCGAGGAAAGGGAGAGAGGAAAAGTAGGGGGGGGGGTCCGGTTTCACCCCCCCCACCTCCAAGCGACCACAGAACGGGTCTCTTTCAGATCTCAAGGGCGCTCGCTTTGAGAAGTCACAACGTTGGATGCCTGGGGAACGAGAGGGCGGGAGGAGGGAGGAGGGGACGGAGAAGAGAAAGAAAATGATGATTATGGATGGAAGTCTTAAACGACGCACTGGATATGGCGCTATCCTGAGAAACCCTGGATACGTATCTTTCCCAGCGTAGGCCCCAGACAGTAGTTTCTATTGCGATCTCGATGTGTACTCTGCGTAGCGCAACTTTCACAATGCCAAATTTTTACGCACTGCAATCCGCCAACTCCTTGGGTTCAGAGGCGTGTGAAATGTTTTCCCCTCTCCAAACCTCTCCCCTGGGAGCCCGGTCCAGTCCATCCCTGAACTCATGCACAAGCACGATGGCGGAGTTTGCCGTAGGCAGGTGGATTTCTTTTGAATTGCCATGCCATGTCTTGATCATATAAAACATGCATGCGGTTTTGACCGAGCTTCACGTGCGCCCGCAGCGGCGCGCGCGTGCCCCGTAATGACTGTTTGAGGTGACAGGGGAGCTCTTATACAAGAAATCGACACATGTGCACCAGACAGTATGGAGCGATAACCAACGAGAAAGTGCTCAGCGACCGCGGGGGGTGGGGGGGCCAGGAAGTTCCCCCCCACCCCCTGGCACGCGAACGGGGGGGGGGTAAAAGGGCCACATTCCCCATTCCAGTGGCAACTCATCAGAGCCTGCCACACCATCTTGTCGGCTCTTGCGAATAGGTGCTAATCGACGCTAGTCGACGCTACATCGACGCTGATCACTCTATTAGCACTACCTCATTGACTCCCAGACGCCAATCGACGCAAATCGAATGCAACAACGGAATTAAGAGGGTATACCCCGCTCCCATGATTTGCTACCGAACTCCAGCATTCGAGCCTCTCCTCCTTCCCAGGGGGCGCCCCCCCCTGGCACCCCCCGGCACTCGGGTCTGTCCTCCTTCTCGCGCTTCCAAGGAGACGGGGAAGTTTCCAATCGGTGCGTGTTTCCCTTCAGTTGGGTCACTTTCCAACCAGAACAGCCCTGTCAGG